ATGAATGATTTTTTTAATGCAGTAAGAAAAAACATTTTTGTGAATTGATTGAATTGGATGGTTCCGCAATAAGAAGAGTACACGAAAATGGTAGAGTAACTTGGATTGAAATTAATTGCATGTTTCGATCAGCTCTGAGAAGTTTTAGTTTTTGGATAATATTTATATTTCATGAATTTAAATATTTTTAAGAAAATGTACACTTTTAAATATTTTTTAACTTCAAAAAATTTTTAAATAGTAAAAGTTCAAAAATTTTAAATTTAAATTTTTCATAAACTCACTTTTTACTTACTTTTCACTCATTTTTTCATCTTTCTAAAAGTTAAAACTTTATTTTACTTCTAATAAAAATTTAAACTTATTACTCATAACAGTATTCAAAAAACAAAAACTCTTATAAGTCACACCAAATAGGCTTTAAGTGACTTATACATTAGCTCTTAAACCTAATGTTTTAGGGTTTTACTTTTAATTTATACTTTAAGAGTGTGGTAAATATATATTTTTATTATAAATTTATGTTAAAAGAATAAAAATTAAATTTTAATTTATTAATTATTTAATTAAATTTATTCACTTAACAAAAATACTATTTCTTCTATCTCATAATAGGATAATAATATAGAAATAATTTTTTTAACAACTTTTTTATATAACTTTTTTATATAATTTTTATATGTTATTAAATAAGTGATATACTTAATATCAGTAGTCCTACATAAATAAAAAAAAATTTATTATTGAAATAATACATAAAATAGTATCAAAAGGTAATATCAAAAGTTAGTACAAAAGGTTATTCTTAAATCTTTTTTTTTTCTCAAATAACTATTATATTTTTACTTTTTCTATAAATTAAAAATTTAAGAAATATTCATATATTTATTTATATTATCCTAAGAAAAAAAAACTACAAGATAAAATCGTACTTTGTATGATAGGATAATTAAATAAAATAGATGGATAATAATAGGATTAAATTAGAAAAAAATTATTTACCTTAAAAACTAAAAAAAAATAATTAATTTAGGATAAATTTAAAGTAAAAATACAAATATTTTAGAATAGATGAGATAAAATTTATATTATCAATCTTTACATTGTCTCACACAAATTTATGATAAAAAAAAAAGATAGTAATACGTACACCCATGAACCGGCACTCATTTTTACACTCAAATTGGTTTAAACAATAAAATTATAAATTTACCCTTTTCACTAAATCTATTTTCCACGGAACAAATCCCAACAAAACTCAAGCATTCAAGCACATTCAACAACCAAATCTCAGCAAAATTCAAGCATTCAAGCACATTCAACAACCAAATCTCAGGAAAACTCAAGCATTTCACCAAATCCATCCATCCAAAAAAAAAAAAAAAGAATTTCTCTGGTGAGAACCTAGCTCGGGTTCTCCACCGAGAGAGAGGAAAAAAAAAAAGAAGAAGAAAGAGGTGAGGGAAAGAAGAAGAACGATCGGTGATGAAGATTAGAGATGGGTGATTGATGATGAAGAAGACTGATCGGTGATGAAGGTGGAGGATGATGGAAGAAAAAGAGGAGGAATGTTAAATTTGTAATTTTATTCTTACGTTTATTTGGTTTATACAGGAAAAACCCTTATTTTATAATATGTGCACCCATCGGTGTTGAACCGGTGGGTGTAAGTATCTTTATCCTAAAAAAAATACCCTTAACTTATGCTTTTAAGTCCACATGTTAAAAAAACCCAAAACTTATACACAAAGAGCTGCTCGGGACATCTTTGGGCAAGGTTTCATGCAGTCACTGTGAAAGCTGAGTGCCAAATTGTATCTTATTTCCATTGTGAGGAAGCAAAATGCTAAAAACTTAAATTGACAACAACCTAAGTGATAGATTAGTAATCTCATGTTAGAGGTCACGAGTTCAACACTTTGATTTATATCTTGCTTACATTTGTGAAAGAAGTAATAAATGGACCAATGACTTGTTTGGTTCGAGTGAAATGTGTTCAATTTTTCTTAAATAATATTTTAAGTTCGAGTTTTGTGAATGAAGAAATAAGCGTTGAGAGAGTTTTATTTTAATAGAGTCCGATGCGGTTTGATTCTGAATTAATCGAAATTCAATATAATTATCGGATACCCGAAGGTTAGTACCAAAAAGAAGTAATAGATGATAGATAGAAAAATGCTCTAAATATTGGACTTTTTTTTCTTCTATATATATTAATTTCTCTCAAGTTCATAGCTTCTTATGATCCTCACTCCAACCTAACAATAGCACCTAACATTAGCATGAGAAAAAAATAGCTTTAACAAATAAGGACACTATTTTCTAATTCAAATTGTAAAACAAAAGCCAATCTCTTAATATTAAAGAATCTATCCTTCTTTTAGAGACCAATATTTTACCATTTCAATCCGTTCGAACTGTAAAATAGTTTTTGGTTAACAAATTATGTCTCCCAAGTTGAGAA